TTACAAGAGCTTAGAAGTGATTTATCAAGGGAGTATGACAAGCATAGCAATCCCTTGTAGCAGATTCCCCCAACAAGAGACGGCACTCCAAATTGAGGGTGAAGTAGAACTGACTGTACTGGCACATACAGCCTCTTTTATTCACAATCCACAAACATAGTACTGCCCACAGGGTTTTGAAATACAACCAATCAATTCGTACAATACACACAGACACTGCCACACAAAATCCTCCCCTCTGCCTGTGATATGATTACTGAACACAGTGGGTAATATAATTATAACAGGCAGAGAAATACAGTATTATAAAACATATCACAGGGACCTAAAAAAAATGCAATGACCCCATAAAAACCAGGGGATCTGGGTGAACCACATATCCAAAATTCACCCAGATCTGTTTAGTAGTTTGGAAGATACAGTTTAATGCAGATTCCGCAGAACATATACAGGCTGTATGAAAAATAATTACTGTATAATGTGTCCCCTGTTGTATAGTTTAAAACTACTGCACAATGTCTTTGTGCACCAAGTACTGGCGAGATGGCACCATGTAGAAAACTCTAAACAGTGTTTGTGAGTTAAAATGGCTGCCATCCATTGTTCTCACCATGTGCTTCATCCATTGTTTTCACCATGTGCCTCTGATACATGAAATGGTGGCCACCCAGTAATTCCACAGTATGTCCCCAGATGGTTCTTAAAGGGCCAGCAGCAGCACAACACAAATCCATTATGCCCAAATCATGTCTTTAAAGGGCAATACATCCCAGGGGCCATAGTCACATGGCAGGAGGCTGGCAATCAGTCTTCTCCAATGCCCAGTGGCGAGGTCGGTTTTGCCACGCAACTGACCTGTGGTCTGCTGGTCACAGCTTCTAGAGGATCTGGAAACTCCTGCACCAGACTTCCGTTATCTCCTCTGAGCCAAGACCTGCAGTGCACTGTAGTGGTTATAGTGCTTGAAGTGTTCCTTTAAAAAAAACATATTTAGTGTCAAGAGTGAGAAGGATCCATAATACCTGAAGAATTGTATGTGGTAAAGAAGGCATTTGAGTCATCAAATATTGCCAATGCTTCCTTCTCCATAATAACTTATTGGTCAGGATGAATTAAAGAAGGTAAAATTGGATTGAATAAGGCAGAATATATTTGTAAAATAATTTTAAATAATTATTAATTTTGGGTATTGGCATATAACATTGAAAATGGGAAAAACGGTGCCAGAGTTAAAAATTTGTAGTACTTTATTTAATATTAAATAGAACAAGGGACAGAAAAAGTACATCTATCGGCTGTTCAGATTACACTCAAGTAGAGACATTTTAATAACAATTTCAATATTGGACAAGTATAAAAATACAATCGAGCCAATGCTAGAACAATGACAACAAACATCATCAGTGACCTTGAGTTCATATTATTGTCATAGGGGATACTAATAAGTCCAACAAAACCATGACTCCAGCATGCACACATTTATAAATGTATGCTCATTGAGAGATTAAGATGCTGTTAAGCTGCTTATATCCTCGAGGTGTGACATTACATTTTTACTTCCTATAATTGTAAATAGAGCATTCATGAAGGTTTAATCAGAGTTACATAATTTATGTAAATAGCAAGTCATGACTTCATGCAAGGGAGTCTTCACCATTATTCTTATCAAGGAAACTTTTTGATCTTTACTGGCAACCTGGTAGTATATGGTGAAAGAGTCTTAATTGTAAATGAGGATAACTAATAGTATAAAAAAAGGGCTTGTGAGATCAAGATTACTTGACCTGCTGTAATGCTCTAACTACTTCAGAATTGTATAGAGGTTGGTTAGAAAATATAACTTTGTGTTTAACCATTGCAGTTAACAGTATTTTTTGAGATGCAGTTTTGCATTGTATTTGTATAGAAGATGACAGAGTTGTGCTGATGAGTTTCAAATTGTAAAAGATCTGTATGCATGCAGGTTGTTGTCCATTTAAATCCTAGCCCACATATTTGTGCATAAACTGTGTGAGGGTTTGCCAGAAATTAGATTGTTATATGTAGTACCACCATTGTTGAGCAACGTAATATGTGGCATTTGGCACCTCATTTTTGTTTTAAATTGTTTATAGCAGTTTCTTAAAAAGTATTATTTATACTGCGAAAAGATTGGTACGACTATTAATAATCTAAACCATACCCAAGCCCAGTGAGGCACTCACATGCCCATACTATAGAGCTTTGCCACTGCTCACTCATATGTGAGTGGTTCAGAGAAATAGCTACTGTGATGCTCTCTTGTGTTTCAAATTACACTGAGTGTTTCTTTTCTTGTTATTTATCTGTTATAGCAATCATGTAGAGCTTATTTTAGCTGCCAGTTGGTATCTCATCTAAAGATTAGACTTGAATATTTTACAGTAATTGTTTTGTGTTTCATTTTATTTATATTTTTCTTGATTTACATGGCGCACACTTTAATAAATTTACTTGGTTAACACATACATTGTCATAAAAACCCATGAATACTGTAGACATTTTAGGTCTTCCTTATCAGTAAATATAAACAGAAATATGAAATATTTTTATAGAATTGTGTTTTAAGTATTTATTACAGCAGCAGAAAGTAACATGGCTTAAATTAACGCCTGCAAAGTTTCATTTACTTAAATTACTAATTAGCTGTATTAAAATGTAGCTGAAACACTAATATTAGTCATATATTCTCCCCTATATCAGGTAATGAGGTTTGGCTTATAAAGACCATTTTTATACGTTACACTGTGACACTACAGCTGTAAAAGATTTTCTCAGGAAGCATTCTAGTCGGACTCATGCAGGGCAAAAGCACAGCATAGGAACTTAAAAGTAAGAATTTAAGTTAGTAAGCCATTTATTTACCTTAGCTATTTTAGCCACAGTCATCCATCTTTTTATTAGGGAGTACTTATGATCAACATAAAATTAACAGCTCATGCTTATTTCAGCCAATGATATGGGGACCTTAATTTTTAATTGTTCTGTGTAATTTGTCCTGGGTTACAGTTTTTTTGTGCGCATGTATTTTTTTTTTTGTTTGTTTGTTTTTTTAATTTGATAATATTTTTGAGCAAAGAAGAGCTTTTTTATTTAGTTTGCTTTCATAGTTGGCAGCATACTGCTCAATAAATACCCGTCAGTACACATTCACAGTAAATAATGAAATATATGTACACATTGAATAATTTTGGTTTTGTGCTAATTGCCAAGGGAATACAACATATGTTTAAATTCTGGATCCAGCTGTCACATTATCTACACAGGAGAGATCCCCTCTGACTGCTTGTTTTGCAGGCTGGTTAATTCTTCTACCTGCTGAAATATCTGCAATTTAGATGTGCATGTGCACACCATCATATTATGGTCAACTAACAACTTCACTGGTAGTTACCATAGATAACCTCTGTGAGTGTCATTAGTAATCTGGAGACATGGATTGCCTATGCCAATTACTAATGGATTGGGATTTATGAACCTATAGCATGCTGATTACATACCTATAGCAGGTACAATGCAGAAATATGTATGGATACACTGATTGAGGTTGCTTTTACTGTCTGTCAAGTGATGTTCCAGACATAGATGAGGTTAGAACATTTACATTTAAGAAAAGCACTTGTATGACTGTCTGGATTAGGTCCAATTTGACATTTTTGGAAAAGGGGCAACAAGCAGATTTTATTTCGTTTCTATACAGAAATTATTGCAAAAAAAATTGCTCCATTGCTATGGAGTATTTATACCCGTATCTTTCTAAGAATGGCTCTCAAACCTAATGTTATATTCTGAACAAAAGGTCATTATTGATACACTGTACCACATTTCACATAGAAACAAAATAGAGAATTGGTTGTATTTTAATGGTCATAATGATGTTCATTCTTGGTAATGACAATTGCCGTTACAAGGCATGACTTGCTCTATCTATCATTTAACCTCTTTCCAACCATCCCTATACATATGATTGTCTTCATTTTGTATTGAAATTCCAAAGAGTCTAAAACAAACCCTCATTTATCTTTCTATGCGTATGTATGTTTAATATGAGAAATATAATGTGTATGTCTGGTACAGGAGCCTAAAGTGCTCAATATACAATACTACAGAGAAGAACAGAATGGAAAAGGGATGGAGTATTGAGCTAGTAATATATGAGATCATATTAGACTTCAATGGTCTATGGTTTTATAAATCTAACCATCTTCAATTACCTTTTTGAGTAGCTTGAAACATATTTCTATCTATTGCTGCTACTTGTATCATCCTTTTAGGAATTGTGTGCAGGCCATGGGTGAACATGTTTTACAAATTCTTGTACAGGCCACATGGAAGTTCTGCTTCTCCCTTTATAACACAGAAGGCAAATTGCATATTTTTAGCAAAAGCCTCACTAATAAGGTCACGTAATTAATAAATTAATGGGTTACACTAGCAAAGATGTTGGAGGCTCCTAACTTTTCCAGCTTCGTAGGACTGTTATGGACAGATGAATTAAAATAAAATGGCTATTTACTAATGTCTATTTATTCTGTGTTCACTATGTTAAAACTGGCTGCTAGAGTAAATATTCCCTTCGCCCCCTACAATGTGTTCAGTTGCTGTTTACTATGTAAATTCTTCATCCTGATAAGGGTCCCCCTTCAAATCAAGCAAACCTTGTGTAAACAAAATTCCTGTGTTAACAGCTCCCTTTACTAACTCCTCCCCCACTACCTTTGTGCCAGTTAAACAGCTATATGCCACGTATAGCTAAATGGAGGATCATTGGTTTAGAACTGATAGATACCACTCACTCCCCCTCCCATCGTGTATCCAAAAGTCTGTAATGATGACACTACATTCTGTAGGGAGGTTTAAACAAGAGCCCCCTTTCTCTGTTAACCAATTGGTGAATGTATACTGTATGTTTAAACTGTGACGTATTTTTGCTTTAAGAAGGAGCCCCCACTCCGGGGAATAAAGGATTCCTGAGTTTTTCACTGATCAGAAACTTTGTCTCCGGTGTGAATTACTTCTAGGGAAAGCGTGCACGCATTAATCAATCAATTTGGAAGGTGTAGATAGACAAATTATCAAAGTTTTCTTTGGTCCAAATCAGTTGGCGCACTTCCGAACAGGGACGAGAGTGTTGTTGTTATTCTGCTCGAAGCCGTAAAATCCCAGGACCGGAGAGGAGACCCCCAGAGATTGAAAAAAAAAAAAAAAAAAAGAGCCTGATCACCTCTGCATATGGTAAATGAGTAACTTACCTATATTTTTCATTCTTTGGAATTGGTCTGCACTCTGGGCCTTCACTCGGCTTCCTGTGGTTAATGTCAGACAGGTATATAGTATGCCCACATGTCCCCTTTTATATAGAACCTGTCACTTGTCTATCTACAGCCTGAGTCCTGAGTGTGAGTTTTATGTGTGAAAGTGTCTGTTTGAGAATCTGTTTTACTTTCTTGTGATTATTTAATTCAGGGTGCAAATATACCTGGAGTTTTTAGGCCAGATTATATTAATTAATATTTTAATATTAATTCTTGGCGCTTCCTTTGTTGTTTTTCATTTAAATTCAGGTGTGCAGAATAGCCCCTGGTGGTTAGTTTTTGTCCGATTAAGAATAGATCGTGGCGTTTCCTTTGTTGTTTTTCATTTAAATTCAGGTGTGCAGAATAGCCCCTGGTGGTTAGTTTTTGTCCGATTAAGAATAGATCGTGGCGTTTCCTTTGTTGTTTTTCCTTTAAGTTCAGGCGTGCAGAATAGCCCCTGGAGGTTTAGTTTTTTGTCCGATTCATATTAAAAATAGATCGTGGCGATTCTTTTGTTGTTTTAATAAAAAACAACGAACAAAGAGTGAAGTTGTTGTATATGTGCTTGAGTGTTTCTGTGTGTGATTTGATTTATTATAAGCCGGCATTTATTTTAAGAACTTTGTGATTTAATTACATCTGTATTTTGTGCTTTTGTCTGTGTATGTCTTGTTAGGTACCATATATGTTAATTGTAATCTATACAATTTGTATCGTTACTCTCCTATTCTATCTTTTGTCCTAAGGAGAGCTGTGCTTAGGCAATCACATGGTTAAAAAACTTTGTGCTTGCAAGTCTTCCTCCCTCCTCCCCCCTCCTTCTTTGTTGCTTTCTCTTGCTCTGACTGCTATGAGTATTGGCTACAGGGGGGGTGAATGGGTGAAATGCTTGTAAACTCAGTGAGGAATGTGAGGGAAACAAGGTATATTTGCTGGACGAATAACCTAGTTAGGAACTTTGTGTAATCTTGTATATGTTGTTAAGTAAGAGGTTATTGGCATGTTGGAATAAGGAAAGTTAGATTTTGTTGGAACAAATGAATTGTGGAATTTATAAATGATATTGCAGAGAAAAGTAAATTGCAGTTTGCATATAATAGCAGCTATTAGGATGCTGTATTGTGGCAATCTTTATACACACAATGTGAAATTGCCAATAGTGAAATTGCCAAGAAATTGTTTGTTAATAAAAAAAAAAAAGATCAGAAATGTTATGAAACTAGTCTGTACTTACAGTGCATAGATTTGTAAACGTAATGCAGGTCAAGACAATTTAGAATCATCAGAAAAAGAAGTAGATTTGAATGGGTTAACAGAAGACAAATCAGATTTAAATGAACAGTGTAACAATGTAACAGGGAGCACATGCTGTAAACAGTCAGAAACAGTCTGTGAATTAGAGGATAGAGTTGAACTAAGAAATGATCTTATTTGCCAGCTTAGAAATGAAGTTAAGCAAGTGTGTGTTAATACAAGAAAAATACAGACACAGAATCTAATCCCAGAACCAATAGATACTGAAAATGTATCCTCACAGAGTGATTTGCAGAAAATATAAATTTCAAGACAGAGCTGCAAAACTTAATTTGAAAATACATGAACAATTAATGAAAATTGTGAAATGTATTCCAGTTTATGACACGTCAGTGGATGCATTTACTAATGCTGGAATGTTTGAGTCAAATGTGGACAAATACAGCCTAAATGACGAACAAAGGAATAGATTGTTTAAAATATGGCTGCCGACTCAAATGGCATGTAGACTGACCACGCTTGTAAAATTTGAGGACAATGATAAAATAATATATGGAAATTAGGAGACAGACAAGCAATGCAGCGTAACACAGAAAGTTATAAGAATCAGATAACTTCAAGAGATATGATCAGTTTAGGGAATGAGCATGGATATGTCTGCCAACAGATGTACACAGGCTGATTCCAGAATTAAGAACAGCACAAGAATAGAGATCTATGTCAGTTTATTGTTTTAAATGAATTGTTAGTCTGTACTGTCTTTCATTGTTTTTATATGTGTTATAAGAAAGTATTAGGTTAATTAAAATAAAAATTTAAATCAAGTTTGCACATATGGCAGAATGAGATACACTAATGTAGCAGTGAGGAACATGCAATGTTATGTTGGGTGTATGCAATTATATAGTAACTCCAATCATTTTACAGAAGAAAAAACAATAGATTTATTCTTTGTTGCTTCTGAGGTTGATTTAAAATCTTTGATTTAATTCATGAGAATGAGATTTTAATATCATGACTGATAATGGATTACTGTATATTGCAACGCCTGGACATACACATGGTTTGGATATACTGAAGACAAAAGGAATAATATATGGGAATGGATAAGGCTGATTTACCCCTATCCACAGCTACGCCTACTCCTAAAGTAACATCGCGTACATCCTTACTATGCCCTTTTACTGTAGAATTTCCCGAATCCTAATGACCAATTCCACTACATGGTGTGACTTGTTTAAGCCTAAGATAAATTGGCTGATCAGGCTACCTGTATTAACAATGTCATCAACGATGAGTTAGCATCTGTGGAGAAGTATCACTTCAGGTTGTCCCAAATTTTCTTTTAACTTAAGTTTTAGTACATAGTAAGGCCCATGCCCAACAACTATATGCAGCCTTGTATAGCAGGCCACATGACATCTATTTGTACCAAGCAAGGCCTGCCTGACTCCTCATTCCTGTCTAACATTGTTGTCTCCTGCATAAGTGTAGATGGCTCTCCTTGGAGTAGCCTGTTAACTAAGCCTTGCTTTGTGGTTACTTTCACCTGTCCAATTAATCTGCTAGGTGCAGATGTCCTTCCCCCACTTGCAGGCCCCTATCACCTTATTATTTATTTTGTTCCACACAGTGAAACCTGACCAAGAGGCAAGGGTCCTAGCTAGTTCCCCCAATACCTTTACCTGAATTATACAGGCCCCAAAGCCTGTCCAAGCTCTTACTATTCCCTAACAGGTTAAGGCTCTGGTGTCGAATGGTGCCCTGGTTACCTGAGACTTTCCATGCAATATCCCACCTCTCCTTGTGATGGACGAATTCTGTGCAGGATAATGTCACCCTGCAGGGATGATACTCTATTTACCTGGCCACTCTTCTGCCACTTCCCAAGGGGGGAAATGATAAGACACTGACTATTATTTTTTTTTAGCATTTTTCTTATGATCTGTTCCGGATTTGCTGTCACTACAGTGGACCAGGTATCTCACCTCAACAATGTCTGCACAAGAAGTTGAGCTATAGGCTCCCATCACAGCATGCAAGATCTCTGAAGGAAGACTGATCTCGGAGAAAGCATGTGGCAACTCTCTGGCTGACTAAGTTGTTCAATAAGTTGTAAGTGCACTAAGGAAAGTGGACAGAAAAGTGTCTACTGAAGAAACTCCCATATTCACCATGTAAGATCCTACCCACAGACCTCAAGCTACTGACCCTGGAAAGAAAGAAAAAACAAACAAACCACAAGCTGGAAACAGAAAGGGGCAACTCTTAAAGACAGGCTGTACTTCAACAATCTCAAGTTCTACTTGCCCAAGAACATATACTCAGCAGTGGTCCAGTGGGCCTACGGAGCATCTGTCCAGAACCCTCATGAACTCTTTTGATCAATAAATACTCTGAAGTATCAGGAATTGCCTCTCTGACCAACAGTTACTGTAAATCTTGTGCCATTTGTGCCAAGGGCAACTCAGGAAGAATGGAGCCAAAGCATCTAGCCAAACCTCATTATCTCTTCCAGAGGAGTCAAGTCGACTACATCCAGAATGCCAAAGAATGGCTGATTCAACTATGCACTAATTATAGCAGACATGTTTTCAGGATGGCCAGAGGCCTATCCAGCCACCAAAGTGATAACCAAGACCACATGCTGAGTAGTGCACTGTGAAAGTTACAGAGATCACCCCGTGGATTCATCATTCCAGAATCAAGCCTGCCTCTGCATTATGTGAAGTAGCATTTGTTGATCTTGACAACCCTTTTTGAAACTCCATTCTTAGAGAACAAAGATACTTGTTGAAAATAAATAAATAAATAAATATCAACAAGTGGGTGTTTTGATGGCCATAATAATGCCTGACCACCTGCCATCGATGGAAAGCCGAATACCCCAAAAGGGGACCTCGTGAAACTAAAGAGAAACAAACATACTCCTTACCCTGCAGCCCTCATGTCTGAGGTGCCATACGCACAGTCAAAGCTTCTTCAGGATCATCTGCTTATCTTGAGTTTGTGGTGATATTAATATTGAATGTTTAAATGATCTGAATCTGCCAGTACTAGGGTAGCATGAGACAAGATTTCTAAGAATAAGTAAATGTGCCCTAGCCTAGGTTATTATGTCCATACACATAACACATGACAATCCCCAAGGTACTCTTGACACACCTCATTCATGCTTCAGGACAAAAAGGAGTACCCCTATAAAGGGTGGTTTTACCCACACACACACACATATATATATATATATATATATATTAATGCCATAGGGGTGTCAAGGGGGGTACCAAATGATTTTAAGGTAAGAAACTAAGTTTGAATCTATTCTCCAAGCATTACGGCTAATAAAATCTGAATTGGAAGGGAAGAGGTTTATACAATAAACAGGAGACCTTTTTCTTACAGGACATGTATGACTCAGCTGAATGGGTAGGTGCCACGCACATGACTGTTAATCCCCTCAAACCACACATTAGGACTTTAAAAGACATGGTAGTCATCCCATATTTGAGGATAAGAGGGCTGTAGAGACAGGTTTCTCTGACACTAACTTGTGACTTGAATGGATGAAATACAATGCTACTAAACATAACAAGTCTAACTGCTATGTCTGCAGAGGAGCGAGGCCTCACCCAGGTACAGTATCCCTGAACCTTCCTCCGGATATGAAGTATGCGTTTTAAGTCTCTACACTGTATTTAAACCTAAGCGGTCAGCATGCGAGTCATGGAAACTTAATACCCAATCATTACTAAAAATATTATGCCCAAACGAAGGCATTACTATATATCCTGGGAACTATACTTGTTATGGGATATATGGTGGGATAGGGCGGTTACAAGCTACCTCTCAGATGACCTTCCAGAATAGAATAAGCTTAAAAATGATTTTGGCAGAAAAAGGGAGAGTATGTAAAATACTCCCAGACACCATAACATGCTGTACCTATATTCCAGATAATACAGGCCCTAATGGTAAGGTAACGTTGGCAATAGAAAAGTTAAAGAGTTTGTCCAATGAGCTGAAACGAAATTCTGGGGCCGCAGATCCATGGGAAAGATGGTTTGGATGGATGACTGGATGGCAAGGTGCTCTGGCCCAAATAGGTGTTGCCATTTTAATAACGATAATCATCCTCGCTCTTCTTGTTTGTTGTGTGTTACCCTGTCTTAAGAAATGCCTACAAAAGACAGTTGATCAGGCAATCGACCAGACCACCCCGACCTTCCTTCACCAAGAGATTGACGATATCGACCGTAATACACCACATACACCCTTACAGTCCCACCGCACTAAATCAACAGCTACTTCCTCTTAAGGACATTTAGGGATAGCGTCTGTCTCTACGGGCAGAAGTCTGCCGCGGGAGAAGTAGTGGACAAGCTGCTATGGGGTACCCGCGCAGTGAAGTGTTCGAGGCCTGTTCAGACAGATGTGCAAGATAGCCTTTTGTTATTTTTCTATAGGGACAGTATTAGAATGAGAGATAGTAGTTTTAGTAAAATTGCCATTTTAAGGGGGGACTGTTATGGACAGATGAATTAAAATAAAATGGCTATTTACTAATGTCTATTTATTCTGTGTTCACTATGTTAAAACTGGCTGCTAGAGTAAATATTCCCTTCGCCCCCTACAATGTGTTCAGTTGCTGTTTACTATGTAAATTCTTCATCCTGATAAGCATCCCCCTTCAAATCAAGCAAACCTTGTGTAAACAAAATTCCTGTGTTAACAGCTCCCTTTACTAACTCCTCCCCCACTACCTTTGTGCCAGTTAACAGCTATATGCCACGTATAGCTAAATGGAGGATCATTGGTTTAGAACTGATAGATACCACTCACTCCCCCTCCCATCGTGTATCCAAAAGTCTGTAATGATGACACTACATTCTGTAGGGAGGTTTAAACAAGAGGCCCCTTTCTCTGTTAACCAATTGGTGAATGTATACTGTATGTTTAAACTGTGACGTATTTTTGCTTTAAGAAGGAGCCCCCACTCCGGGGAATAAAGCATTCCTGAGTTTTTCACTGATCAGAAACTTTGTCTCCGGTGTGAATTACTTCTAGGGAAAGCGTGCACGCATTAATCAATCAATTTGGAAGGTGTAGATAGACAAATTATCAAAGTTTTCTTTGGTCCAAATCACCATGTGCTATAATTTGATTGTTGCCTATTCATAAAACAGCAACTATTATTATAGCTGTAACACTGTTTTCTAAGACACTCCACAATAAGTATAATAAATGTTATTAAAGAAACTAAACTAATGGCCACAAGGGAAATTATCAGATAGAGCAAAGTCTGATGTTGGTTTTGAATTTGGCAGCAATTCACGAGATTTTGCATTTTCGTGTAGAATACTTTCAAGTATAT